CGATAACCTCCGCTCCAAATGGATCACTGATGTATTCTTGTCTATCTGCCCGAGCATCCACAAGGTCATCGTCCGAGGTGCGGGCCGCTACACCCCAGCCCACATGATTTTCACCCTGGACAAAAGACCCATCTAGGTTGAATTTGACCACTCCCTCCCCTGGTGGCCTCCACTTGTCGACACAAGGTTTCTTTGCTTTCGGGAAATATACCTGCTTATATTCGAGTGCTAAGCTGCGAGTTTGACGAGCCACCTCATCAGGTAATAGTGGTGATTCGCCCTTTCTTAATTTATTCCTGCTGCTCCACCACATCCTCCAAAAGGTGAGCATCTTCATGCGCTTCATGAGAACATGACGTTGGCCTGTTGGTTAGCCCTGCTGGAGGGCAGGCTGCCCGCCCTGGTTCGAGTCCTGACTCGGCCGAGGGGGTGCTTAGATATTTCTTCTATAAAAATATGCCGCCAAGGGCTAGTCCTGGCTGGTCTCATTTTTTTTCATGCACTTCATTTCATCACAGCCCTAGAGATACTCCATCATTGCATGCACGTCCGTGATCTATCTTTTGAGGGTGATTGGTGATAGTAGCACTAGGATCCCTCCTAGCGTTCTATCTTTTGAGGGTGTTGCATCCGTGTAAGACTATGTTTCTGTGTACGCTGCCTACTATGGGCTTTATTAATTTAAAGCCGCCGCTGGCGTCTTCATTCTAAAAAAAGTAGCACTAGGAGAATCGGTTGTCACTAACCTTGGGTAGTTAGCTGGAGCACAGGGAAATCGGTTGGTGTAGCAGTTTGAAGAATCGGTTGGTGTAGCACAGGGTACATATCGAGGATCGACCAATTTCTACCAAGTACTCTAGGGTTCCAAGAGCTAGCCTATCTATTGCAACAAGGGGAAGACTACATTATGGGCGTGTTTGGTTTTCATAGCAACTTCTGCATGCATAGTCTGGTTGAGGAAAAACATGCAAAAAACCAACATCTGCCGCTTGTTTAGACGGAAACACAAGGCACGGTGTTTGCTTTCATGCAACGCCTGTTGTCTGGTAACCTCTTCGGTGAGGTGATGAGGTTACTAGCACATATAAGTGTATACAACAACCCAAAGACACACAGAAGATAGCAAGCACTAAGCAGTTTAATATGCTACCACACTTAAACATAGTTCTAAACCATAACAAGCAGTTTTAAACATAGTATGACACTTAAACATAGCAGTTTTCAAGCAAAGCAGTGCGATACAGTCGATATTAAACCGGCTAAAGCAACAGAGAGTTGTCCTAGACGTTCAGGCGAAGGCCTCATCATGCCTCCCGCACTTGATCACCTATAAAATGTCGTTGTCGTTTAAGACGATGACCTCGAGTGTGTCGAGGGTCAGCAACTTGAAGGTCATAATGTACCTGATTTTGATCTGATGGACGGCGGCGAAGGTGGCCCAACCCTGATCGAGAGTGATCTTGCCGTTCATCAGCCTCATAGTGACCCTCCATGAGAAGCGATGTTCGTCTTGAGGTTGAACTCCGTCGGCACGGCCAATAAGTGCTTGGTGAAGTCTAGGGGCATTGGAACGCACTCGAGCTTCGGGGCAAGGATGACCTTGTAGAAGTGAGTTGGCCCACCCTCATCATGGTAGTGCGCCCGTAGTTCCGGCGCTTGCCGCTTGGGGTCTCCTCCGGCACCACGTCGTCCTCCGTGCCTAACACCTCCTCAGGCGTGGTTGGCACAACCTCCAAGGGTGGCACCACCTCCTTGCATGCCCTTCTCCATAGGCGGCACCACCTCCTTGCCCTTGTCATTGTTTTTGACTTGATCTGCATTATGAACAACACAAAGTTCATGGAGTTATGAAGAGCACAAAGTTCAAAAGTTGATCAGCATTAAAAGCTACCATCCAAAGCCCCTATATTTTACCCACCCCGACCATCACTACTTACCCACAACCGCACTCAGTTAACCCTCTCTCTTCTCTATCTATCACTCTTCCTCCTATCCATCGCCATGAACTCCAACTCCAACCCAACCCCTTCCCTTGGGCATTGGATGGAGGGCTTTCTTCCTCGGGTGCTCGCTCGGTGACCGCACCAACTTCTAGAACACCATGGAAGTGTGCTCGAACTTTAGCAGCATCAAAGACATGCACAAAGAGGCAGATGCTGTGGTGAAGAAGGCGACGTCGGAGGAGTTGAAGTCGCCGAATCCTGACCCAACGAAGGGCACTATGTTAGTCGACATCCTTCGCTGGGCCATGAATCAACCCGACTCTGGCGACACTGGACACACGACAAGGTGGGCCAAGTACAGGGAGTACATGGCTCCTCATGACCAGCGTGCCGCAATGTACTGGAATAGTACTTTGGCGGCACTGGAGGTCGTTGGTTTGGAGCCGGAGGAGGAGAAAGAAGCGGTGGAGATGGTTGTCAGAGCACCAGAGCCAGGCCACTTTACTTTGACAATCGATCTAGACTCGGGCGAGGACGACGAGGCGGTGGTCCCTCCGGAGGACAAGAACAAGGTCAAGGCCACCCACCGCTCCAATCGCCTCAAGGGTTGTCGCGACAAAGATTAGAAACTATTGTGTAAGATTTACCCTGATCCCCATTCTCCTTCTACTCAATCCAGATCGAAACCCTAAATTCCACCGCTATTAGGAACTCATGATGATGTTATGATCAGTACTATGGCTATTTACCCCGATTCCCCAATCCCCTAGAATTGTAGATCGAATCTAAATGTGGATCAGATGCGAAATAGTGAGGATGGTGAAAAAAGTGCTTACCGTCATTGCCAAAGTGTTGCAGGTGATGTTGCGAATCCGATGCCGGTGATGAAGGCCGGTGGTCGCCTTGTTGTTCTCCGATCCGCTGAACGCCGCCGTCGGTGAGAGTGGGAGAGTGGGGAGAGGGAAGGGGAGCGATGAGGGAAGGTGATGGAAATTATTACTGGCACTTTAGGAAGCAACTCGACTTCTCGAGCGAGGTTCCTCGCATGCAGCCGCCGCCCACGTGCATCGCGCGGCCCTGGCTCTAGAAAAAAATGCCGATTTGAGCGTTCCTAGTGGGCCCTGGCTGGGAGGTGCTTTGAGGTCCATGCAATGCAGGCCAACAGTAAACGCAGGGAACCAAACAGCCTATTTTCTTCCCGCGTGGGTCTGACTAGCCTCTATGCAGGCTACCAAACACGTCCTATGTGTTTTTTTAGAAAAGGAGGAAGACCCCCGGTCTCTGCATCTGGGTGATGCATGCAACTACTTTATCATTTATTCACAAAGCTTACAAAGTAATACATCAGTAAGTCTGAAGCCATCATTTTGACAACATTTGTCCCTACTCCTATCCAGTTGATGAAGGGGTGCCGATAGTCCGAGCCGAATACCAAACAGACCTTGCACCAAAGCCTAACATCTAAAAGCGGAGGGCCCAACCAAGTCACATTGTCGGGTCTGGGGCACAGACCGGTCTAACGCATTCTCATAGGCCACCACCGCCGTCCTACCGTCGACGTCACCACGACGCCAGTTACGCCATCCTCCTGCGCGATTCTATCAACACACATCGGACATCGAGACTCCACCACGCCATGCCTCGAGATCTGCCTTCGTCGATGCAGAGGAGGTAACATCGCTCCACCTCTGAGCCCTTCCAGTCACCACCTGCTCCGAAATGATGCCCCCAAGAGGGAAAACGTCATCAAAGATGTTGTCATCGTCCGATTCAGGAAGCCCCTAATCTAGGGTTCCCCCCTAGGCGTGGTTCCGCAACCTGCAACAACGATGTCTCGAGAAGGGAACGACATCACAGACACCGCCATCGTCCGCCATGACCATAGTCGGCACAATTTTCACCGGAAGTCGCGTAACACCACTCTCGCAGCTGACAGGAACCGAACGGAGCCTCGCCATGAAGACGAAAGCCGCCGTCAGCACGCCGGCAAAGGGCCTCCATCCGCCCCTCACCGGTCCCTCCACGCGTCGCTGGTCGGCCAAGGCCACGCCACGACGGATCTGAACGGGACGCCAGCCGCCACCCAACACCTGACCAGGCAAGCCAAGGACTCAACCCACTAGCCCCTTCCGTGCCACCCAACACCTGAACGGGGGAACCAGCCACCGCCGCACGCCAAGGTCGCCACCCTGACCGCGCCTACTGAGGACGCAGGCGCCATCGCAAGATCAATCCCGGCAACAAGGCCCGAATCCCTCGTGCTCGACCACGGTCAGCCACGCAGAACCTCCTCGCCGCACCGATGTGAGGTCCACCACCGGATCCACCACGCCGGCTTCCGCCACCGCGCCGCGAGCCGGCCGTGCCGTCCAGGGCAACGCGTCCCCACGAGGAGAGAGTGCCCTGCCGCTGCCGTCCACAGCTTCGCCCGTCGGCCTCCTCTGACAGCGGCCAGGCCGCGGGCTGCAAAGGCGAGGGACGGGGCGGCGGCGACTAGGGTTCGCTCGTGCCGCCCCTGTGGAGAGCGACGCGAGCGACAGGTTCCTAATATTCGCAACGTGAGCCTGTTAAGGGCAGTCACACGTCCTATGTGTGTTTCAGCTCCATCTTGTTTTTGCAGGTAAAGATTGCTCATGAGAGGCTGGAGAGATGGTACATGAACGAGGATACAAGATTGCAAGGTTCAGCTGGAAAATAGCCCGTCATGGTAGCTGCAACCATTCAGCACTTCTACCAGCATCTTAAAAGAAACTTCAGCACGGTGTTGCCCTGCTGTGATGTGCGTGAGTTGAAAATATGTCTCTGCTCCGTGAACAAACGAATTTCGCACGATTGGGTTCCACCCAAATTCAAAAGAAATTCCTTACTGGGCATCATAGTCTGCAATCTTTCCATCTGTTGCGTTAACAATTGCAGTTTCGGAACAAAGCGATGTAAACTGCTGAAGAAAAGTTTGCAGAAATTTATACGTAGTATAGAGTTGATTGAACTAACACGACGGTGCTATGGCAAAAACCTACTTGATCTGGCTGGTTTCAATTCTCCGGGTAGCCCAGTTCATGGCCCGCGGGCTAAGCTAAGCTGCGCGAGCCGACAAGCGATGTCCCCTCCGGCGGCCGTGGCGCCCCCCTCCGCCGCGGCCACTCGCAACCCCTCGAGCCTGTCAGCGATGTCGTCCAGGGCTGCAAGCGCCGTCGTCACCGGGGAGATGGCGCCGCAGATCGCTGCGCAGGCGGCCTCGTCGCGGAAGCAGAGAGCAAACTCATCGCCGGAGCCTTGCCCCGCCCAGGAGAGCGTGGACCCGTCCAGCCTCTCGAAGGCGTCGCCATGGAGGATCGGGTACGCGAAGAGGATCCGCTGGTGGGGCCGGTCGTCGGGAACGGTGTACATGACGAGGGAGTGGCCCTGCGGGCGGAGGACCCGGACGGCGGCGTAGGCGGCGCCGAGGCTGCACCATTGGCCGTCGCCGTCGCCGTCGCCGCCGCCGCGGTGGAAGAACTCGACGGGGTAGGAAGAGTCGGTGGCCATTGGACCGGCCGAGCGATGGGGAGAGGAGAAAGCCCTATGCTATGCGTCCACTAGGAGATCTCCCCGACGATGAATCAAATTGGCGTGAAAGTTGCAACTGATTTTTTTCTTCTTCAACCAAAGGCATTTTTTTTTGACTCGTAATGTTATTTTTTTGAAGAAGGTGCTTGCCCGGCCTTAATGACGTGGCCTTACAAAGTCATACAAGAGTCTAATGAAATGGAAACGAAACAAAATAAAAGAGTACAGATACAAGCCGAAACGGCTGATAACAGCGACGCAGAGCCGGTTACAGGCCAACTAACACTGACGACTCCCAGAAGATGTCGGGAAGGATGGCACCCCACTAAAGCAAATTCCTACCCGACGGGACGAAGTTCAGTGCACTTTGCCCGCACCTTTAGCACGAGCTCCTCCACGCTTCCTTTGTCCTTTAATTTTGCCAGAAGCTTCAAAAGCAAAGAGGCCATTTTGTATAGAAGATCAGTTGGATGGTGAAAGGAAATCCCCTCTATAAGCGCTTTGCGCATAGTCCACAAGGCCCACGCCAATGCCTCAAAAACTAGCCATGCCAGACACCGTTCCCATCCGACGCGTCCTGAACCATCCTATATAGGTCCGCGAACCCACTTGGGTTCCAAGCACCTCTGGTTATTTCATGGAGGGGCTCCACATGAAGCGAGCAACTATACACCTGAACAATAAAATGGTAGTGATCCTATGCCGCGCCGCACCACACGTAATTCCCGTCCCTGGACCGTGCCTCTTCTGAACTTGTTCTCCGCTAGCGATGTGGTTACGAGCAACTTGCCACAGAAATATTTTAATTTTGGCCGGCAACATTGCCTTCCAAATCCCGCTCAAATCACACGTGGAATGTGTTTTGAAGATTTCTTTGTAAAGCGATCTTGTCGAGAAGCAGCCCGAGGCTTCCAGCTTCCACGAGACCTCGTCCCGTCCCATAGATACCTGCACTCCTTGGAGCCTAGCGCGGAGATCCTTCCACTCTGAGATCTCGATAGGCCTGAGCGAACACCGGAATCTTGGTTGCCAACTTGAGTTATCCCAAACATCCACCACCTTGGTGTTTGGTTTATCGAAAATGGCAAAAGGGCCGGGAACCTTTCACATAGCGCTTGCTCACCGCACCAGACACCTGACCAAAATGATGCCGCCTTGCCATTTTGAATGACAAACTTTGTTCCCAGCCGCAGAAGGTAGCTCACCTTCTTCACGTCTTTGGCGAATTGCGATAATTGCACATTTGAGCGAAATTCGATGATCTATCGCTCAAGTACTTACTAGAAAATATTGATAGACATAACCCCCTTGGCCCGTGAGGATTTTCCAAGCCCATTTGGTCATCAAGCACCAATTCATAATTTAGGTATTGATAATTATGAGGCCCCCGACTTCTTTGGGGGAGCATATGTGTTCCCAATTAACCATGTGATACTTTTGCCTCCTATTCTTTTGCCCCAAAAAAATCTCGACCTCACTTTGTCGAAGGCAGTATGAGTCCCATCTTTAAGAAGGTAAAACCCCATAACAAACATTGGGATATTCGCGAGGCAGTCATTAATGAGGATTAAATGTCCACCTAATGCCAACAGTTTACCTTGCGACGGTTCTACCCCATCGGCAACCTTCTCCACAATTGGATCGAAGTCCCCCATAGTCAATGCTCTATTCGAAATTGGCATACCCAGGTGAGGGAGTCATGGACTAAGGGGTCCTCGGGGCGACGTCCCATTGTACATGGGCCGGACTGATGGAGCCATATATTGACAGGAGATCTATGAAGCCGTGGTGTGCCCTCCAAGTCAAGAAGGCAGAGGATCCCTTTAATTCCTTATTGTAATCTATCTTTGGTAATCCTAGCCCTATCAATGTCTATATAAACCAAGGGTTGTAGTCATCAAGGAGAGAGCTACTACATTCATCACCCCCTAGCCTTAGGGTTTAGCTCATGCTGATCTCGAGGTAGATCTACTCTATAAACCACATTATACAGTCAATATAATCAAGCAGGACATAGGGTTTTACCTCTTCGAGAGGGCCTGAACCTAGGTAAACACTGTGTTCGTCGTCCCCTGTTACCCATCGATCCTAGATCCACAGCTCGGGACCCCCTACCCCGAGGTCTCCCGGTTTTGACACCGACATTGGTGCTTTCACTGAGAGTTCCGCTATGGGGTCGCTTAAAGGATCGATGGCTCGCCTGATCATGGGAGAAGGCATCGGATCCGGGGACTTCTTCATCCCAGGTCAACTCTTCGCGTTCGACAACATTGTCCTGCATGCTGACCCGACTGGTCGTCTGGATCAGATTGACAACTTCACCCCTGAACACCGAATTCGATTTAGCAACCTGGAATACGCAGCGGACTCATGGGGCGATCTGGTCTTCGTCGAGTTTACTACACCTTCCCGCACCCATGCAGGCCTTATCATGCCCGCCCCGGAGTCTCCCTCCAATCTGATCTATGGATCGGCCCCAGCAGCTTCGAGCCAGGAGAGCTTCGCTTCAAGCGGTGGCCAGACTCCATCTTCATCCGAACCCATTATGCCCACGGAAGATTTGTCCTCGACCTTTGTGGCAGGATCAGGAGGCGGAAGCCAGGAATCAATCTCGGCCGAACATTTACTCCAGAATGCTCACCCAACCGTGAGCTCCCACGGCGAAGTGGTGGCCAATGGCCGGGAACTACTCTCGGCCCGAAGCAACTCGACCTCAAGCCCAGGTGTGGAATCCACACGCAGGGATCAAAATGTTGGAAATATGCCCTAGAGGCAATAATAAAATGATTATTATTGTATTTCCTTGTTCATGATAATAGTCTATTGTTCATGCTATAATTGTATTAACTGGAAACCGTAATACATGTGTGAATACATATACCACAACTTGTCCCTAGTGAGCCTCTAGTTGACTAGCTCGTTGATTAATAGATGGTCATGGTTTCCTGACCATGGACATTAGATGTCATTGATATAGGGATCACATCATCAGAAGAATGATGTGATGGACAAGACCCAATCCTAAGCGTAGCACAAGATTGTGTAGTTCGTTTGCTAAAGCTTTTCTAATGTCAAGTATCATTTCCTTAGACCATGAGATTGTGCAACTCCCGGATACCGTAGGAATGCTTTGGGTGTACCAAACGTCACAACGTAACTGGGTGGCTATAAAGGTGCACTACAAGTATCTCCGAAAGTGTCTGTTGGGTTGGCACGAATCGAGACTGGGATTTGTCACTCCGTATGACGGAGAGGTATCTCTGGGCCCACTCCGTAATGCATCATCATAATGAGCTCAATGTGACTAAGTAGTTAGTGACGGGATCATGCATTATGGAACGAGTAAAGTGACTTGCCGGTAACAAGATTGAACGAGGTATTGGGATACCGATGATCGAATCTCGGGCAAGTAACATACCGATTGACAAAGGGAATTGTATACGGGATTGATTGAATCCCCGACATCATGGTTCATCTAATGAGATCATCGTGGAACATGTGGGAGCCAACATGGGTATCCAGATCCCGCTGTTGGTTACTGGCCGGAGAACGTCTCGGTCATGTCTGCATGGTTCTCGAACCCGTAGGGTCTACACACTTAAGGTTCGATGACGCTAGAGTTGTTATGGGAAATAGTATGTGGTTACCGAAGGTTGTTCGGAGTCCCGGATGAGATCCCGGACATGACGAGGAACTCCAGAATGGTCCGGAGGCGAAGATCGATATATTGGACGAAGGGTATTGGAGTCCAGAATTGTTCTGGGAGTACCGGGTGACAACCAGCCTGACCAAAAGGTGTTTTGGAGGCCCCGACAAGCGTTGGGGGGCCTTATGGGCCAAGGGGAGGGGGCACACCAGCCCACTAAGGGGATGTGCGCCCCTCCCAACCCCTCTCATGTAACATGGAGAGGTGGGGGCGCCTCCCCTAGGGCAGCCGCCCCTCCCGGCTTGGGGGGCAAGTTTCCTAGGGGTGGGGGCGCCCAAACCCATCTAGGGTTTCCCCTGTGGCCGCCGCCCCTCCCCTAGGGAAACCCTAGGGCACCTCCTCTTCCCTCCTCCCCCCTATATATAGTGAGGGAGAGAGAGGGCAACCGCACCCCTTCCCTGGCGCAGCCCCTCCCTCCTCCGACACCTCCTCCTACTCTGTAGTGCTTGGCGAAGCCCTGCCGGAGAACCACGAGCTCCATCGCCACCACGTCGTCGCGCTGCTGGAGTTTTCCCTCAACTTCTCCTCTCCCCTTGCTGGATCAAGAAGGAGGAGACGTCCACAGGCTGTACGTGTGTTGAACACGGAGGCGCCGTCCGTTCGGCGCTTAGATCGGAATCGACCGCGATCTGAATCGCTGCATGTACGACTCCACCAACCGCGTTCTTGTAACGCTTCCGCGTCGCGATCTTCAAGGGTATGAAGATACACTCATCCTCTCCCTCTCTTGTTGCTAGAATCTCCATAGATTGATCTTGGTGATGCGTAGAAAATTTTGAATTATTGCTACGTGCCCCAACAGTGGCATCATGAGCTAGGTCTATTGTGTAGATTCTATGCACGAGTAGAACACAAGTAGTTGTGGGCGTTGGTTTGTTCAATTTTCTTACCTTACTAGTCCTAGCTTGTTTCGGCGGTATTGTGGGATGAAGCGGCCCAGACCGACCTTACACGTACTCTTACGTGAGACAGGTTCCACCGACTGACATGCACTTGTTGCATAAAGGTGGCTAGCGGGTGCCAGTCTCTCCCACTTTAGTCGGATCGGATTCGGTGAAAAGGGTCCTTATGAAGGGTAAATAGCAATTGGCATATCACCATTGTGGCTTTTGCGTAGGTAAGAAGCGTTCTTGCTAGAAACCCATAGCAGCCACGTAAAACATGCAACAACAATTAGAGGACGTCTAACTTGTTTTTGCAGGGTATGCTATGTGATGTGATATGGCCAAAATAATATGATGAATGATATGTGAAGTATGAGATTTATCATGTT